CGATTGGGGGGAAGAAAGCAAATGACTCAAATGAGTTCCCAATATTTTTCAAAGGAGGATGTACCACAAAAAAAAAAAAAAAAAAAAAAAAAAATTTCTGAGGAGGAATAGTTTCTTGACTTCGAGGAAATCCACAAAGTTATGCTTTTCATGGAAAACCCATCCAAGAAAGAAAAGAAAACAGAAAAAAAAAAGACAAAAAAAAAAAGAGTCATTTCTTCTTAGATGAAATAAATTGGAAAGGAAAACTCTTTTACCAATTTTTTACTCCCCTTTCCGCGTCCATTCATTATATATTAGAAAGGAAAAGGGAGCTAGAGAGAATGCCTTTCCTGTCCTAAGCACTAAGTACAAATCTTAATTTCAGACCACATACTATGAGGGACAAAGCAACCGACCAATCCCAGAACTGGACAGAGCATATATACCAAAATGAAACCAAATTCCAAGAAATATAAACACCATAGATAATCTCCTCTTCCTAAAAAGGGAGTTATCTTTCTCTCTCAACTTTGATGGCCATGGATATCCCACAACAGTTCAACCAATACATGCAACAGATTTCCATAAAAATCGTAGCTTCAGTGATTATTGGGTTGTTAGGGCATGCAGCCCCTCGTATTGTGGATGTTTTGACCTACTTTTGGCCTCTTTTGGCTTCGACTGCAGTATTATTGTTGGAGCTGTGGTGTTCAAGCTGCAAAAGTAGCAGTAAATGAAAATGAAAGCTGCACAAAATGGCAGCAAAGTGCAGAAAGCTAAGCTGCGCAGAGGCTGCAGAGCTGCCAAGGGACCAAGCATGCTGTAGAGCTGCCAAAGGACGCAGCAATGTGACAGAAATGGCTGTTACATATTTCAAATTTCAAATGTATTTTATTGATGTTTTTTAATGTAAAATAGTTATTTGATTTTTAAATTTTAAATTGAGTTTGTATTCTCCTATAAATAGGGGTAAAAGGAATGAGAAAAACTGAGTTGAAGTGATATACTTCTCTCCATTTCAGCTTATGCTCTGTTTTTCATCTTCCTCTCGGTTCTCTCCATTTCTTTGTTTTAAAAAAGAACAACAATTATTGGTGGAGATGGTTGGCTTTGGTGGTCTCTCACAGCTTGCAACTGAAGGCCACGGTGAAAAGGTCGGTGAGGGACTTCTGATGGACTATGTTGCACCTTCCCGGACAGAGCACATCACAGAGCTTCAGTAGCCAAGATTGGGTTGTATTTTTCTTACTCATCTTTCAAAAACATGAAAGTTAATCCTGAATATATAATAATAGTAATTGCAGGGACTCTGTTCTTTCCATATATTCCCACTTTTTCATGTTGCACGTACCAATTACAAGAGATATGATCAGCAATTTAATTTCTATTCTGTTATTCTGTTAATATTGGATCCCAGATTTATACAATTAAAAGACAGACGGCCATTAATTCTTTGGTCATGGTCATGGTTATTATTATTTTTGTTTGGCTACTAAAGTCATTAAATTTTTATTTTATTTTAATGATTAAAAATAATTAATAATTAATATTTATTATTTAATATATTAAAATTAATTTATAAATATATATTTTTAAACATTATAATTAATT